GAGGCTGAGATCTGAGGATCACGGTTCAAAGCCAGCCCGGGCAGGAAAGACTGTGAGACTCCTATCTCCAATAAACCACCAGAAAACCGGAAGTGCACTGTAGCTCAAGTGGTAGAGCACTTGCCTTGAGCTGAAAGAGCTGAGGGACAGCGCCCAGGCCCAGAGTTCAAGCCCCACGACCGACCAAAAAAAAAAAAATCACTTTTATTTTTTAAAAGGTTAAAGATTCAGGGTTTGACTCAATATGTGAGTTCTTTTGACTCTCAAAAGAATTTAGGGCCGGGTGCCAGTGGCTCATGCCTGTAATCCTAGCTACTCAGGAGGCTGAGATCTGAGGATCACAGTTCAAAGCCAGCCCGAGCAAGAAAGTCTGTGAGACTCTTATCTCCAGTAAAACCACTAGAAAACTGGAAGTGGTGCTATGGCTCAAGTGGTAGAACACTCACCTTGAGCTGAAGACAGGGACAGCACCCAGGCCCAGAGTTCAAGACCCACAACCAACCCCCCATCCCCAAAAAAAGAAAGAACTTAAGTTTTTAATAAGAACTTGTCATTTTGATATGCAATAGCTTTAATTTGTAATATATGCAATAGGGTATAGGTGTAGGAAAAAAGAAATCAATGGAGAAGACTCTTCTGATTAAAAGATTGTATGTTTGAAATGCCACAGTGAAACTCCTTGGTACAATTTATACACACTGAAAAAGAGTAATTACAAGAAAGTACAGCAAGCTGTTAGTGAGGAAGGGTCCCTTTGGAAGGGCTGGGAGGCTGAGAGGATGACTATGACCCAAGTATTTCATTTGCATGTATGAAAGCAGCAAGAGAGCAATGAAACCTGTTAAAATGTCTCCAGAAGACAGTGAGGAGCGAGGGAGGGTGACAAAGGAGAAACTGGATCAGAATACCTGTGGGAATGTGGGTATTGACAACAAAAAAGGAGCAACAAACAAAAAAAACACCCAAAACCCCAAAAAACCTAGTGGGCACTGGTGGCTCATGCCTGCAATCTGAACACTCAGAAGGCTGAGATCCCAAGAGACTCTCATCTCCAATAAACCACCAGAAAACTAGAAATGGCTGTTGGTATGGCCCCAAGAAAGAAAGAATAAAAAGAATCCATACACTTTTCTGAGTGGGGAACACCGGGCACTGCATTTAAAGGGAAACAAGCAGGCTGTGCACTGTGCCAGCAGCTAAGTGTCCCAACTGGACAGAGCTGAAGACCCTCAGCAGCTCCACCACGTGAATACATACATACAGTTCTTCAAACTGCTTCTGAATTTCACTATCCATTTCGATGGCACTGAAGTTTGGATCTCTAATAGGAAATGCTTCAACAAATAACAATGCAGCGTTTGATCGAACTTCAGAGTTTCTGGCCTAAAAGAGTAAAGTATTTTTTAGATTCTCAGAAATAATATCTAATCAAGCTTAAGTCTGGAATTCCTAAGTTAACACTTCTATCTCTATTAATATAGATTAATTTGTAACTGAAAGAAAAGTTTAGGGAAAAACATCGTCTAAAAAGAAACATGCTTTTTTTTTTTTACCTGATTTACCTATTAAACTTTTATACACAATTTTTATGATAACCGTAAAGAAAGAAAGAAAGAAAAGAACATTTTAATCTTTAAGTTGGTCAAAGTGTACTGCTGCTATGGCTTGTTGACCTAATACAGTTAGCATTTTTGAGGCCTTCAGTCTTATCTCTAACACACACCCCCCCAAAAAAAAATAAAAAAAAAGTAAAAGCATGTCTAGACTTTGTGGTGCTGTCTTTAATTAAGTCAAACTCTCAGTTGACCATAACAGATATTAAAGATCAGTTTCCTTGCACAAAGTCCACCATGTGTCATCAAGAGTCATCACCTCTGCTGGGCGCTGGTGGCTCACGCCTGTAATCCTAGCTACTCAGGAGGCTGAGATCTGAGGATCGCAGTTCAAAGCCAGCCCAGGCATGAGAGACCGTGAGACTCCTATCTCCAATAAACCACCAGAAAGCCGGAAGTGGCACTGTGGCTCAAGTGGTAGAGTGCTAGCTTTGAGCTGAAGAGCTGAGGGACAGTGCCCAGGCCCAGAGTTCAAGCCCCACGGCCGACCAAAAAAAAAAAAAAAAGAGTCATCACCTCTGAGGACACCAGGGCAGTCTGTTCATCGGAACACTCACCAAGAGCGCTTCTGCCTCCTGCCCTTGCTAGCAGCATGGAACATGAGGGAAGGAAACGCAGCCAGGGCGGCTCCACATGCCGCCAGCCCCACTGGCATTCATACATGTTCTGTTCTCCTGCCCAGCTGTTCATTTCACAATCACTGTGCACTCTACTTTTGCAGGTAAGTAGACCCCAGAAATATTCTTTTTTTCCCTTGTGGTGCTGAGGTTTGAATTCAGGTCATTATATGCTAGTACGCTACCACTTGAATAACACCTCAAATCCTGCCTTTTGGTGATTTTTCCCCCTAAGTTATGTTTTTAATTTTCTTACAACTATCGTTATGATTGAGGTATTGAACAGAGGGGCTGCCATCTCATAAGTCAGCCAATGTGAGTACGTTGTATTTTCTGGACAATGTCACTCCTTCCCCCTTCAATCCCCCGACATGCCTGCCTCCACCGCCCATCCCCGCCTCCACCGCCCATCCCCGCCTTCACCGCCCATCCCCGCCCAGCTGCATAGGTCATGCTCCACAGTGTATGCTGAACAACATGTGTACATCTCTTCACCCTTTCTCCCTCCCTTTCTGTGCCCCCTCCAGCCCCTGGCGGTTATTTCTGGTAGGGTCTTTCCAACTTTTCTAGTCAAGATGTAAACCTTCTTGATGTCCCAGTATAAAGATTAAAGGCGTAAACTACCAATGCCTTGCAACAAACGCTCAATTTTTCTGACAGGCTTAGTGATGCTTATAGTCCAGCCCACCAGAGGCTGAGGGAGGTGGGTCACTTGAGTGCACAGCTTGAGGACAGTCTGAACAATGGAAGACATGATCTCAAAACAAAAAAACACACAAGCGTTTTGTTCCAAAATTTGGCACTACACTTGGTCTCCTATCTTTTATTGCCTTATTACACTTTTAAATTAGCATATGTTCAATTCAAAGCATAACTGCTAGATCCAGAACATAGGCACACTTATTTTAATGCATACCTTTAATCCTCTCCAAAGAATAGGCTTATATAATCGATACAGCATCTCTTCCACTCCCTGTCGAATTTTCTGTTGGTGAAAGTAACTCAACACCTAAGAAAAACAAGAGAAAGGCAATATTGTTTTTAAAGTGTATTCAAGCTTGGTAAAGTAATGCATCCCTACAACCCCAACAGTCAACAGGCTCAAACTGGAGAATCAATATTCAAGGCCAGCTGGGTTATATAACAAGACTGTCTCAAAAAAAAAAAAGGCAAAGATTAAAAACAACAACAAAAAAAAAACAAGAAGCGAGGTTATTCTCTCCCTTCCCTGTCACAATATTCCCTCGCAAGAGCACCTAGAAAGATAACAGTTCTGACATGGCAAATGATGAGAAAGAAACCCTGACTGAAATGAAGATTACAATATGGATTCGATCTCTGTACTCCATTCCAGGCATAAGGGTACACTCCTCTGTCATGATTATTCAGGAAAGCCATGGAAGGTGGATCATGTGAGCCCAGGAGGTCAAAGTCAGCCTGGCCAACTTAATGAGATCCTGTCTTAAAAACCAAATAGATAAGCCAGGTGCCAGTGAGACCTGAGGATTGTGGTTCAAAGACAGCCCAGGCAGGAAAGTCCCTGAGACTCTTATCTCTAACAACTGGAAAACCGGAAGTGATGCTGTGGATCAAGTGGTAGAGCACTCCCCTTGAACTGAAAGGCTAAAGGACAGTGCCCAGGCCCAAAGCTCAAGCCTTACAACTGATCAAAAAAACAAACAAACAAATAGATAAAACATGAGAAACAATTTCTAATGGCTGCATCGTTTCAATAGAACTGTTGTTTAAACCTCTCACGTTCAGTGTACAATGGCAAAGGGGAATGTGTTAAGGAGTTTGCTCAACTGATGTTTCTTGGCCCCACATGCTCATTAAACCCACTATTACCCGCTAGCAGCAGGCATCAGCAGGCTCTCTGCCATCCACTGGAGACAGATGACGGTTTCTCTATTTTCAGCTCCACTAATCAGTGACCCTTCACAACAGAAGCATAATTTAGATCCAAGTTTTTACCAAAACTTATGAAGAATCAGAAAACAGATCACCTTTTTGTCCCCTTTCCTTTGGCAGTACTAAGGTTTGAATTCAGAACCTCACACTGGCTAGGCAGGTGTTCTTAGCAATGAGCTACATCTCAAGATCTGGTTTTGCTGATTGTTTTTAAGACAGGGTCCTGATGTCTGAGTGCACATGCCTGGGTACAATCTGCCATATTCAGCTTTCCCATCATAGCAAGGACAAGAAATGCACACCATCATATCCAGCTCTCTATCAGGAAGAGGTCTTGGGAACATTTTTGGCCTGGGCTGGCTCTAAACTATAATCCTCCCAATTCCAGCCTCCTAAGTAGCTAGGGTTACAGCATGATCCACTGGTGCCTGGAAGAAAACAGATCATCTTGTGGCTACCATTCTCTTCTCCTTTCTCAGCTACAGTCTTTTCAAGATCCTGTTTTGCCCTACTTTCACAATTCATTCCACTGGGAGAGAAAATTTATTAGTGAACAATGGAAACTAGAAACATGAAACAGACCATTAAACAGCCTACATTCTAAGTGAATCTATTATCTTAACCTGAAAGAACAACATGGGGCTATTGTTTTTTCCTTATCTGAGAGTTTAATGGTAATAGGTAATATTAGTCTTTAACTTTGTGTGTGTGTGTGTGTGAGAGAGAGAGAGAGAGAGAGAGAGAGAGAGAGGGAGGGAGAGAGAGATCTCATTTTGGCATCAATGGTGTAGTAGCTTAGAATATTTTGTAGAGACATAATTCAAGCAGCATAAAATTCACTTTTAAACACAGCAGTTGCAAGCACAGTGGCACATGGCTGTAATCCCAACACTCTAAAGGCTAAGGAGGGAAATACAGAGTTCTTCCTGTCTTAACAAAAGCATGTGTTTGCCTTTCTCATTACAGCACAGGTGGTGTAACAAAACTGCTAGATACCAAATATCAAGATTCTGAGAATCCTCTCTGATTGATGGCCTGAAAGTATAACTTAACTTTTAAATTTAAGCAAAACAACCCCAGTCACCGGTGGCACACACCTGTCATCCTAGCTACTCAGGAGGCTGAGATCTGAGGATCATGGCTCAATGCCAGCCCAGGCAGGAAAGTCCATGAGACTCCAATTAACCACCAGAAAGCCAGAAGTGGTGCTGTGGCTCAAGTGGTAGAGCGCTAGCCTTGAGCTGAAGAGCTGAGGGACAGCGCCCAGGCCCAGAGTCCAAGCCCCACAACCAACCAAAAAAAAAAAATTTAAGCAAAACAATGTCTAACAACAAAGGATGAAACATGATCTCAACAATTTATTCTCAATAGAAGCATTAGAGGTGCCTTACCTCCCGTACTTTGGAGTGCACTGGAGACTTCCTGGGAAGGTGGATGCCATGGAACATGAAGTCCTGGATGCAATCGTTTTCAATGGTCTGAAAACAAGTACATTGCTTGACACTTGCTGTGTACAGGTGGCAAGGCAGACAGTAGGCATTTGGGTAGTCTACCTTTTTTTTTTTATTTGTCACTCCCCCTCCCCCACCTCCCTCCCCTCTCCCCGGCCGGCCGGCGGGGATGAATGGCTGGACTAGTCTACCTTATATTCAGAAGGGACCACTTGGATCTTCTCAACAGAGCTTTCTCACTGTAATTCTATGTCTCTCTATAGTTCCTCATTCAGTTTTCACGTACCATGGACAGCACTTAGCTGCTGTCTTATCTGAGGAGTGTAAAACCTGTGCCCCTAGTACAGCAAGCTTCCACCTAGCACTGGAGGCCTGTTCCAAGAGTCTCCTCAGATCTGCAATAGTAACACCTCTTAGTGGGGACCAGGACTCAAAACTAACTAAAAAGAACAACATTCTTAGGCTGCCACTAAGAAGGGCTGGGCAGGAAGGGGTGTGAGAGCCTCTTCTGCAGCCCAGGGTTCAGAAAGAACTCAGGGTTGAGCAAGGGAGGAAGGGCCAAGCCTACAAGAACAACTCCCAACCCCAGCAGATCCTGCGGTCTGCTATCCAAACCTCATACCTCCTGTGAACAGGACTCTGTGGCCTCAGAGAAGGATATTTTTAAAAAGTTGTCTGCAGGGGACTATAGCAGATTTTTGTTTTCCAGAAGTAGAAGTCAGTGACAAACCCTGACACTGGAAACTGAGGTTATGTTTGGCAGAAGAGCAGTGTGGAAAAGAGAGAAAACAAAAACAAACTAAACCATGGTAACTACAGTTTGCCCTGACCAGCCTTCACCAGCCACCACCAGCGCTCCAAAGAGAAGGATCAGGAAGACTCTCCAAGGACACTTTGAACTTAAAATGTTTACCCTTATGTTTAGAACCTAAAATGAGAAAAATATTAAGAGATAACAGACACTTCATTTTTGTCTGAAAGGGTTGCTGAATTGTTCACAGGGGTTATGAGTTATATAACCATATCTCTGTAACTAGTACAGTTGTGAAGGCTAACTATATTCACGGTGAATGTCTCTCAATTCTCAAAATCACTCCAGGAGGCACTGGGGGTGAGCGATGTGACTCCTGAGGCTACGCCTCTGCACGCAGACAAACACAGTCAGGACTGCCACATCTCTGTAATAGCAGACACAGCTTTAAAGAGTCCTAAGTACTTTAGTAACTAAAATACAGCAAGCATTTAAGAAAATGAAAATACCTCCAGTATTTTCCCTGAAGTCTTCTTCCAAGCTCTGAAATAAATTTCTGCAATGTGTACCATCAAAGACCTATTTAAAAGAAAAAAAGATGTGTTTAGTTCAAGTTTCAAGAATTAGGCCTTTAATATGTATCATTTCAGTTACTCTGCCTCCCTGGAGAAGAAGTTCTGTTTAGATAGATAGACCAAGGCTCGGCAAACTTACCTGAAGTAGAAAGCAGAAACACTCTTTCTTGATCTTGAGTAAATGCCTCCAGAATTTTACCATTTCCTGTGAAATTGTAAGAACCTAAGCCAATAACCAAATTCTAAAGGCAACATCACTCCAATATTAAGTAAATTTTGACCTGCAGTCATTCTGGACTGTCTAAGATACTATAGAGTCCTCAAATACAAGAACCTTTAAATTATCAGCTGACCTTTGAATCACAGAAGTTTAAAAACCTATTATTAACCCAAATGAGGAACTATTAGAAAGCAATCTAGAATGTAGCAGAAACTTTGCCATCAGAAATCAAGAACCAAATCCCAACTTACTATTTACAGTTACCAGTGGTTGGAAATTTAATCTACACAGCCCACCTCAAAAGAGAGATAAGAGGAGGGAAAATCAGAGAGCAAGGGAAGGGGTGACACTGTCCAAAAAGAAATGTGCTCACTACCTGACTGTACCTTCTGTATATCACCTTTATAATGATACAAATTTAAATTTTTTTTTTGAAGAGAGAGAGCTAAAAAGGACGGCTTCTGAAATGCACACAAGTATTCAATGCCAGCACCGAGCAAATGTAAACATTCAAAAGCCACCTCTGACCAGCGCTATGTGAAGAGCCGTACTGGTCATGGAGCATCTAATTCTGCTTCCCTGGGTTCTTCAACCAGAAGGCTCTTTCCAGCAATCACCAGAAGAGACATACTTTACATTCCGAATATTATCAGAAATACTAATGACATGGGCTTTGTTATGAGTGAGGCTAAGACCTAAGCTTAGGGTACATAATTTGACTAGAGAACCATTACCACGTCAAGTTCCAGTTATCTGAGATAAGAGAATTACTGGAGCCTGAGTTTGAGTCTCTAGGATTGAGACTAGCCTGGACAACTAGTGAGAAGGGAAGGAAGGAAGGAAAAGGGAGCAGGGAGGGAGAGGGAGCAAAGGAGGAGAGAGAAGGAGAAGATAGGGAGGAAAGAAGAAAAGGAGGGATGATGGAGAGGACAGAAGGGAAGAGGGGAAAAAGGAAAGAAGAAGGGAGGAAAGAGAGGGAAGGAGAAGAGACAAATTTAAAAAGCTTAACTTCAGTGGTTACTACTGAAAGAATGATGTCCTACTATAATGGTAGTTTAACAAAAACTACCTGGTGATATAGTGGCATATAATGTTACATTAATTCCAAAGCTTCCAATACATCAATATAACTGTGTGTATGTGTGTGTGCGCACACGCACACACTCATTGGTACTAGAACTTCAACTCCAGAGCCTGTGTGCTGTCCCTTAGCTTTTTCTGCTCAAAGCCAGCATTCTACCTTGAGTCACAGCTCCACTTCCAGCTTTTTGGTGGGTGACTGGATATGCTTTCCTGCCCAAGCCGGGCTTTGGACTGCCATGCTCACATCTCAGTCTCCTGAGCAGCTAGATTACAGACATGAATGAGACATCAGTGCCTGGCTAATATAACTTTGAAAAGCCAAGTCAATTGGGCTGGTGGTGGCTCACATCTGTAATCCTAGCTAGTCAAAATGCAGAGATCCGAGGATTCCAATTCAAAGCCAGTCCTGGCAGGAAAGTCTGCGAAACTTTTATATCCAATTAACCAGCAAAAACCTGGAAATGGAGCTGTGGGTCAAGTAGTAGAGTGCTGATCTTGAGCAAAAAAACCTCATGAAAAGCACCTAGGTGCTGAGTTCAAGCCCAAGACAGACACGAAAATGAATAAATAGATGTTTCAAAGTCAAAGTCACATTAACAGCACAAAATTTTAATTACCTTTAATACTTACTTTTGTAATCCCTGTAACTGGTTTTTGATGGTGCCATGGATCATTTTAATAAAGTTTACATTCCAACTGAAGAGAAAGCTAAGAAATCTTCTTCCCTGTTTAAAAAACAAACAAACAGGGTTTGATCTTGAAACTGAAACTAAAAGCTGGGCGTGGTGAAGCATGCAAGTACTCAGGAGGCTGAGGTAAAAGGATCACAAGCTGAGCCCAGCTTAGCTTGGGCTTCATAGTAAGCTCACACCTCAAAAACAAAACAAAAAAGTAAAGTAAAACTGCAACAAACAAAAAGTTCCTAATAACTAATAAACAATATTATTAAAGTTGGCTATTCCTAAAAAGGAAGTGTGATTACAAACTTGCACACATCGGTGGAGTTGGGCAAAGACTTCTGTAGGCAGACACTGGGGCCACTCAAGAGATACAGCCATGCAGACCCTGACGATGGGTCCTTCAACATTTCATTCTGGCTCTGCCTTTGACAGTCACATAACCTGATATTGAAGAGGGCTGGAAACTGAGCACTTGGGCATGGAGACGGAACTGCTCATCTTTCATAAATGAGAAAACTGAGACCCATGAAGCTGTTTGCCATCAATCACATACAGCACTGGTTATATCACATAATATTAGTTTAGGTGCATGCCACTAGACTACACACGATTACAAGAAGAAAGAACGCTTATACTCTCTTAAGAATTTCCTCAGTGACAGCCCATGAACTGTCACTGCTCACAAATGCCTTCCTACAGCCTGTGTGTTCTACACAGCCAACACTTTGATTTAAATGAGGCAACCCATTTGTAACAAGAACATTCACTGTAAATAACTTGCCAGTAAAGTTTACAGTTAAACAGTTATTAACACTGTTAGTAACTGGAAAGTTGCCTGACCACATCAGTGACTGATCAGAAAACTGAGTGTAGACATGTGATATTCAAAGGAGGAAACAAAGTTTTAAACAAAGTTTTTCAACCCAGCATTGCATAAGATGCAGTTTAGCCAACTGTATAACCTCACTGGTTTCCTACTCTGTAATTTTTAATTCTCTAGAAACCATGCTAGTAAGAGTAAAAAAAAACTAATTTCACTTTGTAACATTTTATATGAAGTGATTATTTCCAAAATATCATTTATAACAAGTACATAACAAATACAAAGAAGACTGAGCTATTTTATAATGCTTCGCTCACACTGAGTCCCCAAGCCCACACACTTCATGTTTAAAGCACATGTCACTTTGACTAGCCCTAAGGCTTAGCAGCCAGAGGGGAACCACCCAATGTAACCAGTGTAACAGGCCAGAGGCCCTCCGTATTTACCAGATGGGCAGAAAAAGTAAGGGAGAACGTTGTGCGGTGATAGTTTTTGGACTACTGACTGTAAGGTATATCAAACAGGGAAGTTTCACTAGGTAGCCGATGAAGAGAACACCACACACTATTCAGGCGAATTGCTATTTACCAAACTGCTGCCTCCCCGCCCCCCTGCGCATGGCAGAGGCATGGCTGAAAAGGAAAGGGTTGACCCACCCCTGGGCTAGGACGTATCTAGGCCAGGGACAGGAAGAGGTGTGGCCACACTGGATCGGGATGTGACCTCAGGGTCAGATGGGAGGCATGTGACCAGAGGTGGCCCAGGATGTGACCTAGCAGCAGAAGGTGACTGCTTCCAGGCGTGCCGGTTACCTAGGTAATAGCACTGGGCCAAGACTTAGCCAAGAGGGAGGGATGTGTCTCTGTGCAGACCTTACCTATATACGAGGAAATATTAGGCAGCCATTAGAAAGGACAAAATGACAGCATTTGCAGGGAAATGGATGGAACTAGAAGAAATCATGTTGAGCGAGGTAAGCCAAGAGGAAAGAGACAAATGGTACATGTTCTCCCTGATATGTAGATGTAATGCCAAAATGCAAGGAGATATGACAAAGTAAACAGGACTCGAGAAACAAAGGACAGCTACTCACTTTGTCATATCATTGCTAAATGACTCCATGCTCTTGACCACATATATGGGTATGGGTGTGTGGGTGTGTGTGTGTGTGTGCATGTGTGTGTGTATTTATTTATTTATTTATTTATGCCCGCAATGGAGGGAAACTAGGAGGGCACAGAATCAGTGGGAAATGGGAAAACATACAACTGACTGGCCCATCAGCTGCACTGGATGAAAATGAACTAAACAACCCAAAAACAGTGATGGTAAGGGAGGAATGAGAGGGAAAGAGGGAACAGCTTACACTAAGCAAAAGTAAAGAAATGTAAATATCACCTGATGTGGAAGAAATAATAGTATCATTAAAGCTCATAGAATTCACAAACTTTATAGACCATGAATGACAATTTGCCGCCCAGGCCCAGAGTTCAAGCCCCACGACTGACCAAAACAAAACAAGACAATTTGCCTTGTGAAGGTGTGTTTGTGACTTTAGCCAAGTATCACTACTCCACAATACTGTGAAATTTATGTAATCACCTAATCTCAATTAAAAAAAATTTTTTAATGCAATTATGAGCTAGGTGCCGGTGGCTCCTAGCTATTCAGGAGGCTGAGATTTGAGGATTGCGGCTCAAAGCCAGTCCGGGCAGGAAAGTCCGTGAAATTCTTTATTTCCAATAAACCACCAGAAAACTGGAAGTGGCGCTGTAGCTCAAGTGGTAGAGCACCTTGAGCTGAAGAGCTGAGGGACAGTGCTCAGGCCCATAGTTCATGCCCCATAACCAACAAAACGAACAAAAATGCAATTATGAGCCAGGTGCCAGGGTGGCTCATGCCTATATGATTGCGATTGGAAGCCAGCCAGGGCAGGAAGTCCATAAAACTGTTACCTTCAATAAACTACTCAAAAAGCCAGAAGTGGAGCTGTGGCTCAAGCGAAAGAATGAGCAAAAGGAATAGTACCAGAGATAGCACCCAGACCCTGAGTTTTGTTTTTTTTTGGGGGGGTCCTGAACTCTGGGCCTGGGCGCTGTCCCTCACCTTTTCAGCTCAAGGCTAGCGCTCTACCGCTTGAGCCACAGCGCTACTTCCGGTTTTTTTTCTTTTTGCTTATGTGGTGCTGAGGAATTGAACCCAGGGCCTCATGCATGCAAGGCAAGCGCTCTACCACTGAGCCACCTTCCCAGCCCTTTTTTTTCTTTTTTAATGCAAGCATGGTTCCCCTCCCTCCCCAGCCCACCCAGGACTCACCTGTTACAATTCAATTTGATGACAAATAAAAAACAAGACTTGTTTAAGTGTGTGCTTGACACTGCCATACAAACTGAGGTACAAAGAATACACAGCTTAAGCCAGGCGCTGGTGACTCACCCCTGTAATCCTAGCTACTCAGGAGGCTGAGATCTGAGGATTGCCATTCAAAGCCAGACCAGGCAAGAAAGTCCCCATGAGACTCTTATCTCCAATTAACTACCAGAAAATGAAGTGGCGCTGTGGCTCAAGTGGTAGAGGGCTCACCTTGAGCTGGAGAGTTGAGAAACAGCGCCCAGGCCCATAGCTCAAGACCCACAACCAACAAAAACAACAAAAAAAAATACACAGCTCTTCCATGAAATGCTATGCTAGGCATGACACAAACAGTAGCCAAACAAATATGGGAAAACCTTCCACTAAAGAAGTAGTTCACAAACAGAACAAAAAGAAAAAGCTATTTACCTCTTCTTTCTTGATATAATTGACATTTATGAAGCATTCAAGCAGCATATCTTTAATGTCTCTACTTTCCTCCAAATCATAATCAAAGCAATATAAAGCCTGATGAATGCGCCAAATCCGACACACATCTGCACCCTGAGAATGAAACCAGAAAGAACAATGGTGTAGTTAGGGTTTGTTCTTCTTTAAATGAATAGTAAAGTCAAACTTCAACTTACTTATATTTCACATCACCAATAATGACAATTACAGATAAATCAACAAGTCACAGGAAAGCAAGAAGTAAACAAATTTACTTGTAGCTCTAGAGAACATTCTAACATAGGCAAAAGCAGTCAAAACCTGTTCAACTCCACCGCCCGTAATAAGCATGCTCTGTCTGAGGTATTCACTGCACAGCCACTGGCCAGAGCTGGCTACAACTACAGACTGTGTCTACTACAACTAAGAGCCATTTTTTTTTTCCTTATTTGGCAACACAATCTGAACTCAGAGCCTCACACTTGCTCAGCTTCCTTGCTCAGCTGCAATTCTACCACTTGAGCTGGTTCTTTTAGAGGTGGGAGTCTTGCAGACTTTTCTGCCTAGGCTGGTTTTGAACTACAATCCCCTGGATCTGATGGGCTAGGATTGCAGACTTTTCTGCCTAGGCTGGTTTTGAACTACAATCCCCTGGATCTGATGGGCTAGGATTACAGGCATGAGCCACTGGAGCCTGGCTCAAATTCTTCATTTTTTAAACTTTACATTGCATCAATTGCTTCACATGGCTATTAGCCACTATACTGAACAATTTTAGACATATTACAAGGACATTTAAAATGGAGTTGATTTAAAAGCTAAACAGTACCAGCAAGAAAATGAAAAAAAAAACAAAAACTTTTTTTTTTTTTTGCCAGTCCTGGGGTTGAACTCAGGGTCTGGGCACTGTCCCTGAGCTTCTTTTGGATCAAGGCTAGCACTCTACCACTTGAGACACAGAGCCACTTCTGGCCTTTTCTGTTTATGTGGCGCTGAGGAGTCAAACTCAGGGCTTCATGCATGCTTGGCAAGCGCTCTACTACTCTACCACTAACCCACATTCCCAGCCCAAAAATGAATGATAGCTTGCAAATAAATTCTGACACTAAAAAGAATTTCTCAGAGGCCGATGGCTTACACCTGTAATCCTAGCCACTCAGGAGGCTAAGATCTGATCGTGGTTAGGATCGTGGTTCAAAGCCAGCCCCGTCCGTGAGACAATTATCTCCAATAAACCACCAGAAAGCAGGAAGTGGCGCTGTGGCTCAAGGATAGAGCACTCGCCTTGAGCTGAAGAGCTGAGGGACAGCGCCCAAGCCCAGAGTTCAAGCCTCACGACCGACAAAAAAAAAAAAAAAAAAGAAAGAAAAAGAATTTCTCAGTCATTCCCCAGAGCAACAGAGAAAATTAGACAGCTGGTTACAGTACAGCCAAGGGCTTTTATGCCCTAACCTTAACTACTCCTTGCAGAATACCTACTCAGGCCCTCAGATACATGCGTAGCCTAAACAAGTAAAAGCCTTCTAGAAAGCCATTGGCAAAACAAAATGAAGAGTCTTCAAATTCATATCCACCAGGAGTTATCCTATGGAAGTAGATACTGGTGGGTAGAGTCAAAAACAAGTTATCACCAATATCCTAAAATAACAATGATCACAATGAGATGGCAAAAGTTTTGACAAATTTTTTATTTTCACTTGCCCAATATGTATTATTGCCTCAATCAGGAAAATAACTGTTCCGTTTCTAGTCTATAGATTTAGTCTAGATTTTTAACCTACACACCAAAGATTAAAGTATGAGAAATAGTTTGAGTTGTATCTTTCAAAATAGGCACTGGTGGCTCACATCTGTAATCCTAGCAATTCAGGAGACTGTGATATGAGGCTCATGACTTGAAACCATCTGGAGCAGAAAAGGTCATGAGACTTTAGCTTCATTAACTACTCAAAAAAGCTTGAAGTGGTGCTCAAGTGGTAGACCGCTAGCTCAGAGACAGTGCTCAGGCCCTGGGACCAGCCCCAGGACCAGCCCAGACAACAAGTGTGGTTTATCCTTGGCCCCGTCACAATTTTCTTAGAACTACAACTGTAAGGTGAAAAAAATCCCAGTAATAGTTCAGGATCTGCCCAAGTCTTGGTCCAAGGCTCTGCCAAACTACCTGCCCAGTCCCTCTCAGAGGACCACTGCGATGCAGAGCCCCCAGACACCCCCACAGCACACCGTCTGTCCCTTAGCTTCTCAACAAATGAGCCCATGAACACTGCTCCCTTGCTTTCTCTTCCTGCCTGAATTGGTACGAGAAGGTAAAGGTGGCAACCATGGAGCAAGGACAGAGACAGCAGCCAACCGCTGAGGAAAGAAAATGGTGGAGGAAAAACCTGGCTCTCCATCTCAATGTAAGCCACTGCACCTACCCTTGGTATCTGCACATCTTATAAGTGTAAGAAACTCCCCTAGCTTGGCTACCTGAATCAGGCCCCATCAGATCCCTGTAGAGCAATACTTAGGTTGGACTAAGGAAACATACTGATTTAGTCTCCAGACTCTTCCTCAGCAGCATGATAAAAGCAGTCTTCCCCATGTCCTCCTTGGCAGGCAGACCCTTTTCCCACCATCTGACACACAGATCCTGAATGGAGTTCTGGAGTTTTCGTTCAGATTCAGGTAAGGCATATAAAATGCCTAAAACAGAACAAATTCTTATCAGTCCAGATTCAATAGTACAAAGTATGACTATTTTGAACAATATAAAGCTTTCCCAAGTGAGTAAAGTATTATCTTTAATATGCCAAGTATGTATATACCTTGTTTACAGAGTGAAAATGCTTAATGAAATGATACTTATTATTTAAAAAGATTCAACAAAGACCTTTAGACTTGAAAGCTTCATACAGATCAAACTAGCCACATTCCAATTTTCCATCAACCTTACTAACACCAATAGTCAGATCTGCTTACTAGTAATCTACTATCATTTTCCTTGGATATAGTAGCTTCAAATTTTTACATAGGTGAGAAACAGTAAAAGTAGCTATCACAATAAATATGGCTCATTATACCATAATGAGCATGATTTGTTTTTATTAACCAAAAAGCTCAATAATTAAATTCATAATACTAGCAATATGCTCACAATTATCCAGATTTCTGAAAGTCACTATAATTTAAGATTCCTAAATTAACTAAGAATTTGATAGCAACTACAATGTCATTTAACCAGACATTATGTCAATACTGTACAAATAACCTGATAGTAAATTCACAAACATCTGAGACCTTTTGTGTACGTGTGTGCTGATCTTGGGACTTGAACTCAGGGCCTAAGTGCTGTCCCTGAGCGTTTGTGCTCAAGGCTAGTGTTCTACAACTTGAGCCACAGATCCATTTCTGGTTTTTTAAATGTTTAATTGGAGGTAAGAATCTCACAGACTTTCCTGCCTGGGTTGGCTTCAAATGTGATCCTCAGATCTTAGTCCAAGTAGCTATGATTACAGGCATGAGCAAATATCATCTGGCTCAGGGATGACTTTTTATTGAGGCTGAATTTCAAACATCCTGATCAAAACAATACACTAAAGAGATCCATCAATCCAAGTGATGTTAAAAATGAGAATATTCTAAACTACATTCATAGTGAGAGATAGAGGCATTTTTTGTGTATGGGTCTTTAATTTCTGCCTGGCTTAAGGTATGTTCTTAAAAACCATTCTTATCCTGGTACCAGAAGGGTACATCTGTAACCCAAGCTACTCAGGAGGCTGAGATCTGAGGACTGCAGTTCAAAGCCAGCCCAGGCAGGAAAATCTGTGAGACTCTTATCTCCAATTATCCATCAAAAAGCTGGAAGTCAAGTTACAGCTCAAGTGGTAGACACTGGCCTTGAGCAAAAAAAATTAAGGGACAGCACCCAGGCCCTAAGTTCAAGGCCCAGTTGTGACATAAACACACATGTGCACACATATACAAATCATTCTTAGAGATAAAAATGCTTGTATGCCTATTCAGTAATTTAATGTAAATACTTAATTACTAAATCTTGCATTAATTCAGACTAGTGTACTTCCTAAGCTAGTAAAAACTTTACAATTCAGTTAAAACTCTAAAAGAACCAAGGAAGGCAACAATTACTCTTTAGATTATATTCATAATGTATTTAGAGGAAAAAATTCACTGTTATAAGTTCTTGGTTAAATTGGCATTCAGTCTGGAAGGAGATAAAACAACAACAACAGAGTAGCAGCTGAGAAATTTATCATAAAATCTTGTGCTTCAAGAAGCTCTTGGTCATGGTCCTGTAAGTCAAGACAGACTATCCTACAGAACTTGCAAACAAGAGGGTAGCTGCTCGGAACTGCACATCTTCACCACCTGAAACATTCAAACACACCCCAAATTAAGCAAGTTACTCAGAACAGTACCTGACTGCTCCTTTTCCAGTTGAACTAAGAGCCTGAGTTCAAAGCTATGTTTCTATTCCACTTCTGCTTCTAAACTCAACACTACTCATGAAGACAGGTGGTCACTTTAGTACACGATTGCTAAATATGCTACTTGTCACAGAAGCACTTACCATTTAATATAACAGCACATTCCAAGAGGGCCTCAAAGTTCGAATTTTCACTTATTACAGATACAGAAGCAAGAATCACAGATGTGATTGCATGAATTATTTTTATGCTATTTTTCTATAAGTGAAAAATAAAAATATAAATGAATTAAAATCACAAATTTAAAACTCAAATTTTAAAAGAAATTTAATTTAGCTACTCAGGAGGCTCAGATTTGAGATCACAGTTCTAAGCAGTCCAGGGAAGAAAAGTCCGTGAGACCCTTATCTCCAATTAAGCACCAAAGGTGGGGGGGTGGGGTGCAGGGGCAGCGCAGAGGTAGAGCTGTGGCTCAAGTGGTAAAGCACTAGCCTTGAGCAAGTACAAGTTCCAGGACTGGCACCAAAAAACAAAAAAGAAAACAAAACAAAAAGGCCAGGCACCAGAAGCTCATGTCTGTAATCCTAGCTACTCAGGAGGCTGAAATCTGAGGATCGAGGTTCAAAGCCATCCCAGGCAGCAAAGTCTGTGAGACTCCAATAAACCACTAGAAAACCGGAAGTAGCACTGTGGCTCAAGCTGCCTCATAGCAATAAATAGCAGCAAGGTCTGAAAACTACAACAAACAGAAATTACACCTAGCATTTACTTCTATCCTCTTACAACATTTTCGTAAGTTCAATTACTCTCAGTAATTTTTAATACCATCTTGGGGCCATCCTCTACTTCCATGCTGTCTTCACCCTGCACTTCCGCCGTCTGCCATCCATCCACTGGGCTTTCTAATAATGTTTCTGTCAATAAGCTCTTCAGCCTTTGCCATAATTCTTCTTTCTGTTTTCTTGATAATTCATCTAGTAACTCATTTAGACAGAAAGGGTCTGAAGTATCTTTCTGTAAAACACACACAAAAAAGTTAGCTGTGTTCTTCTCAGCATCAAAAGATACTATGTGCTTAGCGGTATATGCTCTTAAGTTGTTACATTTGCCTTTTGGCTTTATTAATTCATTAAATCAGTTCATTCACTGAGGTCTTTGTTAATACTAAAGGAAGGCTGTTTGCAAAAGCAACCTTTAGACTTCGCATAGCTTTTTAAAAAAATATTTTAGCTCTTTCAAAAACTATTAAGCAGTTGTACAAAGAGGTTAGAGTTCCATAAATCAGGTGATGAATGCAGTGCTTCATCAATGTCACCCTCGAGTGATACAGGTCATAATGCACACAGAATATAATGACAGCATTGGCTCACCTTCCCTCCATTGAGGTGCCCATCCCCTTTGCCCTTCCTCCCCCAAACTGTTTCCACTTCCCGGTATCATTTTGATAAACAGTCAGTTGTTCAGAGGAGTTACATGTTTGGATTCCTCCCCTGATTATCATCCTTCACAGACTTTAAATAACTTTGACTGCTAAAGCATTCATGTAGTTATAAATTATATTTTGCTCTTATAAATACTTCTGTGGTATTGCCTTGTAAGTGTGCTAAGTTTTAGGATAGCATTTTGTAATACAAAATCAAAGCTCCTGTTTCAAAAAAAGCTCATTTGTTTTAAAATCTGATAAGTGTTGCTAGCCATCCAATTTATTATTAGGCTATTCTCTAACTTGCTATCTTCTGTAATTTGATTTTTATTGCACAACTAGAACAGATAAGGCAGGGAGGCTCAGAATCCCATGCCCTAAAGTCCTAGGTATCTTAGCAGAACTCCACCCAAGGCCTCTCAGCTGCTCCTCTACCACAGATCTGATGCAGCTGGTAACACTCCTCCTGTCTCTATCCTGGACTTCCTCGAGATCTTCAGACATGTCTAGTGACTGTGGCCCTGCAGCTGGCACCTCCATCTTCTTCCTCAAACCTGGCATCTTCCTTGGCTCTCCCCACTCATATCCACACACCAGCTGAGAGTTCTTGCTTCTACCCCACATTCAGCACCCAGGAGAATTACAGACTCCTCTCTCACCAATGGAGTTTTCCAAAGGCAAATGTTCCTTTCCCTTTCTTCTGCTCTTTCTCCTCCACTTCCCGGCCCTCCTCATTCGGGCATGCTGGGCACTCTGTGGACAGCCACGCTGCCAGAACAAAATCTGAACTCCCTAAAATGGCAGAGGGTTTCTCACCGTCCCTTCCATTCTGGCATTGGAACCTCTTCAGGTTCAAATACAACCTGTCTTCTTCAGTCCTCAAATGCTTCCCCATGGTTAAACAGATGGATGTTAACTTCTGCTTGCCTTCCATATTCTAGCTCAGCCCATAAGCAGGCCTACTTGAATCTAACATGGTTTCTTGCAGATTTTAAAAATAAATACTGGCCCCTAACAATTCACTGAGATAACTATTTCATTTGGGGACTAAATGGTTTTTGGACATATCAGCAACAGTCAAAAACACAAGAAAGCCAAAACAGAACTTACATCAAGCTGAACAAATTGCAGGAAGTCTTCAATCAGCTCCTTACACACGGCTTGCACAAATGACTCACGTTTTTCCATGACAGATGAAACTGTTCAAATGACATTTGTTTTGTAATCCTGGTGAAGTACACAATCATATTATAAGTAATATTGGCAAATACATCTTTTCCTACAAGACAAACTGAAAGAAATTCCTATACCACTCATGGTAGACAATTTCTGTTACAATTATCAGATATTATTTCCTCAAATGAGATTGTTAAAATAATCACTAGCCACGTTACCACCTAAGGAAAGGGAACCCAAATGGCTCCAGGAAGCTCACCTATTTTCAGGTTTAGTACGTTGAATAGATGCTGGGTCAGAACAGGCTAGTTCCTACAACTGAACTCTGAAGACTCCTTTTCTATAGAGCTATTTCTCCACCAAGAGATCCCACTTCTTTGTCTTCCTGTTGTTAAAGTGAGAGCTTGTTATTCAAAGTGAGAGCTACAACAGAAGCCCTGGAGCCACCTGGGAGCTTGTTAGTTACTGCATTCACTCTCCCTCCATCCCAGTAGGATAAAGAGAGCTCAGAGGACCCTGTTTACCCTCTTTTCTACATTCAGGTAAATCTTAACACTCCCAGCAACTCCTATTCCACATTTACACCACCTGGTGCTCATATCATCTAGTAAATGATGAAATGTATTTGTAATAGGATCCCCTCATTTTAAGAGTAAAAACCTGGGGGCTGGGAAGATGGCTCAGTGGTAGAGTGCTTGCATTGCATGCATGAGGCCCTGGGTTCGATTCCTCAGCACCACATAAGCAGAAAAAGCCGGAAGGGGTGCTGTGGCTCAAGTTCTGAAGAACTGAAGAGCTGAGTGAGGGACAGTGCTGAGGCCCAGAGTTCAGGCCCCATGACTGAACAACAACAAAAAAGAGTAAAACCCTTGTCCTGTTATAAATTCAGCAACACGAAAAATTGTTGGCAGCAATTAAAGATAGGAATCACCCTAACTACACATATAGTCCTGTATCTTAAGTTCCAAATTGGACAAAGAGAAGTAGAAAATAACACCTACAAAGTAAAGCAAAAGACAAGCCACCTTACTGCCCAATTCAAATGGTGAAACTATGACCAAGAAACTATGATCAAGAAATAGTGGGGAATCCAGACACACTGGCGGCTGGCGCCTGAAACCTAGCTACTCAGGAGGCTGAGGTCTGCTCACAGTTCAAAGCCAGCCCAGGCAGGAAAAATCCGTGAGACTCTATCTCCAGTAAAACACCCAAAAAGCTGGAAGTGGGCTGTGTCTCAAGCAGTAGTCTTGAGCAAAAGCAGGGACAGTGTCCAGGTCCCAAGTTCAGGCCCAGGGACTGAAAAAAAGAAAACAGAGGGAGGGGAGCCTGGCTCCGGGGTCGGGCGCAAACCCCAATACCCCGAAAAAGGAAAAGGAATGACAGGAGCAACGCAGGGGCGGAGGCAGCCACTGCGGTTCCCGGCAGCCCGGGCGACCCCGGGGCTCGCGGGGCAGCGGGCGAGCCCTGAGCAAACGCATCCCGGGAACAGCACCGGGCCCGAGTTCGAGTCCCAGGACCGGCAAATGGCGTCTGCTCTAGAGAAGCGAACCAGGAACTCCCGTCTTCTCGGACTGAAGGGAGTCAGGGCTGGGGTTCCGCGGGGAGGCCCCAGGGCGCGGGCCGGGCCTGACCGGGCGCCC